AAACAAGAGCAGACCTTCTGGAATTAAGATGTGGTAATAACACAATGTGAAGTATGCAAGAGATAATTCCCTTTCTATACACAAAATTTCACCAATAATTTTGGCATTCATGGAATAGATTTATCTGAGTGTATTTGAAAAAGTATTGTGCAATTCTAAATGTTTAATTTTCTCATTTATTGTTTTTATTAACCAACACTCCTCTGAAAGATCTCTTCCTCTGCTCACCCCTCCTCCTGTTTGTTCCCTTGCCCCTCGGCTTTCTTCTCTTCTCTCTGTACTCAGGGATTTAAAAATTGTATGCTTTATAAACAGTTTCATCAACACTGTTACTTATTCTCAAAGACACAAATACAGCCAGTGAGAGCCCCTCCAAGCAACTCTTTTTTCTTTTTGACATGATCCTTTCAGACTTGAATGTGTTCAATAAAATGCTGCCCGTGTATAATAACTCTTGTTGCCTAGGATGCACAAACAGACATTACTTCAAAGAACCTTGTTTTCTGTGAAACATAGCGTTTTAAAACTAAAAGATTAATAGCAGGTATCCTGTTGAATCTTAGGGGACAGTATTATATCTTTTTAAAATTCATGTATGGCAGCCTGAGCTGATTAAGACAGCTACCCAGGCCCCTTAATCTCCCCTTGAAAGGTGGGGTAAAGAAGCTAACACATTATCTCAGCAAGCGTTTCTCAACATTTCATAGTCAAATCTAGATGGGCTTTTTGAGACTCAAAAGTTGAATACCTATCTGTTTTCTGTGTCCCATATTAAGAATGATTAAAGGTCACATTTTTATCGTTCTGAATTTAGGAATCTGAAGAAAATCGTTAATGCGTTAGGACAAAACCTAGTAAGTTAAATCTGTTATTAAGAAAAATGTTAAATAATATTATACAACATTTAATCTCAAAACATGAAAGAAAAATTTTAAAGTAGTATCATTATCCATGATAAAGAGAATATAAATGAACTTGATTTATTTTAAAAAGTTGCATATTCTTAAAAGCAATGCAATTCTGTAAAGATTCATTTTCTTATTTGAAAGAATAATAGAGACACAGAGGGATCCATCTGCCAGATCACTTGATGGATGCCAGTGAAGGACAGGGGTGGGCCAGGAAGGAGACGAGTCCTGGTCTCGTGTGTGGGCAGCAGAGGCCCAACTAGATGGGCCGTCTTCTGCTGTCCTCCCAGGCGCATTGACCGGCACTTGAATGGACATTCTAATATTGGATGCAGGTGTCACACGGAGTGGCTTAACCTCCTCACCAAAAGACCAGTCCAAAGCAATACAAATAAATAAATAATGTTAGTACATAATTGTCTTATAAATTTTTGACAATATAGGAAAGTACAAGACAGAAAAGAAAATTATGTAAAATCCTGGATAGGCTACCACCATCAACATTTTAGGTATAATTTTTCTTTATTGAGAACACAGATATGTTATACAATTTTTCACAGTCCTATTGATTATTTATGTACAGTCTCTGAAAAAATCTCACTGCAACCTTTTGGCTATTTTGTTTTGATTTTTTAATTGGTGCTACATTTACTTCCTTTACATAATCTGAATTTAAGCTCTATCTGATGTATCGGCTGGAAATATTTTATGCTGTTCTTAATGCATTTTGTTCTTGCTTTATTTGAAAGATGGAGAGATAGAAAGGGCGAGTGATATACAGATCAGCCATCTGCTAGTTTACTTTCCAGCAGTTTTCAATAGTTGAGACTTTTTAAGTCCAGGAGTGAAACTCATTCAAGATCTTTTACGCACAAGGGCCATCGCTGCTCCCTCATGATCAGTATGAGGGTGCTAGACACGAACCAAGGAATTCTAACATTAAATATGGGTGTTTCAAAGTGATATCCTAACAGCAATGCCAAATACCCAATCTAATTCACAGAAGTCCTTAATTTTAATGTAAGCTTTATCCATTTTTACTTTCGTTGCTTTTGCTTTTGGTGTCATAGTGAAGAATTTCCAAATAGAATGTAATAAAAATTTATCTAACATTTACTCCTAAGTGGTTTTTGTTCTTTGTTCGTTTGTTTCTTTGCTTTTTACAGTTTTAGGTCTTACATGTAGATATTTGATCCACTTTTATATAGGATAAGATAATGTTCCAACATGCTTCTTTTACATTTGGATATTCAGTTTCCACTATACTTCTTGTTGAAGTTTGTCTTTTCTCCAGAGTGCATTTTTTTTCAAGTTTTAATTTTTTAATTTTTTTTATTGGAAAGGCGGATATACAGAGAGGAGAGACAGAGAGGAAGATCTTCCGTCCAATGATTCACTCCCCAAGTCAGCGCAACGGCCGATGCTATGCCAATCCGAAGCCAGGAGCCTCTTCCGGGTCTCCCACGCGGGTGCAGGGTCCCAAAGCTTTTGTCTGTCCTTGACTTCTTTCCCAGGCCACAGGCAGGGAGCTGGAAGGGAAGCGGGGCTGCCGGGATTAGAACCGGCGCCCATATGGGATCCCGGGCGTGCAAGGTGAGGACCTTAACCACTTGCGCCATCGCACCGGGCCCCAGCGTGCATTTTTTTAAAAATTCATTTATTATTTTTATTACAAAGTCAGATATACAAAGAGGAGGAGAGATAGAGAGGAAGATCTTCTGTCAGATGAGTCACTTCCCAAGTGAGCGCAATGGATGGTGCTGCGCCGATCCGGAGCCAGGAGACTTTAGCCTAGGCCAGGCCGCTGGGCCCCTCCTGGTTCTGTATTTTTGACACCGTGGAGCATATATGTGATTCATTTTTGGCCTTAGCATTCCATTGTTCTATTTATCTCATTGGTTGTATTCATTGTTTTGATTATTATATTTGTCAAAGTTTTGAAATAAGAAAATGTGAGATCTTCAACTTTGCTCTTTTTCAAGATTGTTTTGATTATTTGCTGTCTCCTCAGATGACATCTGAATTTTAGAATTTGGTTTTCTATGGTTGTTCCTGGGGCTATTCATCTCTGAATAGCTTCAATATCTTAAAAATTTTAAGTATTTGATAAACACGGGGTAAGTTTTCATTCATTTCTATTTAACTTCTTAGAGCAATAGTTTTCAATCTTGACTGTCTAAGTTTTTTGTTATTTTGGTTAAGTTTCTTTCTAGTTGGTTTCTTTTTTTATGCTCATAAATGAAATGATTAAGAAAGTATATTCTTGGAATTATATCTGCAGCCAACTTAAATTTCTAAAATAAGTACTTTGAAACATTGTGACTTTGTATTTTTTTTTTTTAAAGATTTATTTTTATTATTTTTTCATTGGAAAGGCGGATATACAGAGAGGAGAGACAGAGAGGAAGATCTTCCGTCCGATGATTCACTCCCCAAGTGAGCGCAACGGGCCGATACTATGCCGATCCGAAGCCAGGAGCCTCTTCCGGGTCTCCCACGCGGGTGCAGGTTCCCAAAGCTTTTTGGGCCGTCCTCGACTGCCTTCCCAGGCCACAAGCAGGGAGCTGGAAGGGAAGCGGGGCTGCCGGGACTAGAACCGGTGCCCATATGGGATCCCGGGCGTGCAAGGCGAGGACTTAACCACTTGCGCCACCGCGCCGGGCCCGACTTTGTATTTTTATTTGACATTCAAATGCAGTATCAACTGATTTCCCTTAATTTCACTTTTAAAATATTCGTAGATATTTTTCTTACATTGATTAAGCTTGGTATGTAATAATCATTTTGTTGTTAATGCATTGCAATTTTGCCTTTTTGATTCCTTCTTTGATATCAGTCTTCTATGAGGTATCTTGTGCTAGTAAAGTGCCTCCTCCTAGTTGTTCAAGTCTTTTCTTCAATTGCCCAGAGTCAGGCATCTGTCTGTGAGGTGCTCCTTGGGACTATTCCTTGCTTTTTCTTGTTGTATCACTTCCTAGCCCTCCTCATATTCTCATGTGAGAGGCCCCCACCACTGTGCTGCCCAGAGGACTCCAGAGCTTACCTTGCTGCCGCTTTGAGAAGTTGATGTTACTGATGCACTCTTTCTCTAGGTTACGTCACAGCTCATATTTGTCAGACTGTTCTTGTTGAGCTAGAGCCTGAGCTGAAAGGAAGCTGCAGTTAACAACTGGAGTGGGAAGTGAGCCAACATACTCTCATGTTGATGCTTTCTGTCTGCACCACCATTCCCAAAGTCTGCCCTTTGAGGAATTTTGATGTATCACCAGGTGACTTTGATGTCTTCAGATCATGGGAAAGCACATTCCAGAGGATGACAGAAATGTCAGGAATTCTTATGGGCTTAAACTCTGGGAGACACAAAGAGAGAAGAAACAGTCTCACTTGCATGCCTTCTCAAACATTGGAGATGAAGTATCCTTGCCATCTTGGGGTTGAAAAATTACAAAGTGCTCACATGTCATGCACATTGTTTCCATCGGTAACATTAGAAGTAACATTGTATTTTTCAATCCATTCAGAATATCCCTTTTTGTAGATTTCTAACAGTCACTAGAGGATCAAAGTAGTTTTATGAGCTATTAAGATGTTTTATTTCTGTATAATGATTTCTATATGGATACACACTGACTACATAAGTATAACTCTCCTTTGAATACATTGAGTCTACTGAATTTTAAAATATTATTCACAACCAGTACGTAGATTTTTCACTTTGTCTCTCCTTTTCTCTGTAAAACTCCCTTTCAAGTTAAAAAAGGTAAGTAAATTTTAAAAATTACTGCTTACAGACTTTTTTTCCTCAGAGAAATTGCAACCCGATACCTATGAATGCAATGATCATAATTTCTCCATTTTTACTCTGAGTTTCTTATGTATTTGGACCAAAGATGCCTTTGAGAGTGCGAATAGAACTGTAGAACACTTCCCAGGCAATTAAATGTATTTAAACTATCTCAGGGTTGCCACATATTTTTAGAAAAATCTATGAACACCTACTAAAGCACTTTACTTTTTCTAAGTCCCCGTTTGAAACATGCAGTATCCATATCATGTCTTGTGTAATTTAGTAGAATTTTATGTGTTTTTCAGGTACCTTTACAAGAATGAAATTTATGTACTAGATAGACAAGCATTTAAAGGCCTCATATTGTTGGAACAGCTGTAAGTCATAGAAACATCCATATTGCATTGCTGGTGCTTGCAATTCAAATAGAAAAGAATTTAAATGCCCATAGGTGGTAGTTGAACAATTATTTTAGGCCTTGTCATGTAGATCTAATGATTGAATATTTTGTCATTTGTTGGATAGAAACTAGAACAAATGAGTTGGCATGGAGGCAGGCAGACCCCTCAGCTGGAATCCTTGTTCATTCTGTTATTGTTATTCTTCGTGTGACTTTGGACACATTAGCCTCGCTAAACTGCTATTTCCAACTCTGAAATGCAGATCATTCTGTTGTGAGGGTTGAGCATCTACAAGAAAAAAAAAACTAACTTACCACTTGTCACAAAACAGGCATTTTATAGAAAGTGGTTTGTAGTTGTGATTATGTCAATTCATGAAGCAACCTCAGACATTTAACTGGTATGGAAACTTCTGCAACATGAGATCTAACTAACCTCTCATATTATAGATCTAACTAAAGTTGGGGTTAATTTAGTGACTTGCACAAAATTAAACTTTGTGGTACTGGTACAACTCAGACCTGATCCTGCCTCAGTGTACTTTACAGAATTTGACAATTAATGTAAATTCAGATGTGAGGATACAATGCAGTATGCATCTCTATTTCCAGACAAAGATGGACTTGCAATGAAACTGTTTACTATATCTTCACAATAGGATGTTGGAGTTTCTGCTATTGTCCATGCCCACACTGATGGACATGTGACTGTGTATGAAGAACTATGTTATAGTAATGATATAGGGGGAAGGGAATTGGTGACGGGATAAGGGAAATCCCAGGACTTATAGAACTGTATCATAAAATGATAATAATAAAAAGAAGCAAAAAAAGAGAAAATATTTTAAAAATATATAAATCTCAGATTTGCCTATGAGAATTGTAGGGTTAAATATCAATTATTCAAGACCAGAAAATTGTCTGTTACATGACTACTGAACAGCTTGATGCTTTATTCAAATATTTCTTGCAGCCATGTGAGTCTGCAGCAGAAATACCAGTTAGGAATAAGATTTTTCCTATTGATAACAACTGCTGGGATTATTTTTCTAAGTCCAGATATGTGTAGGACGTGTTTTGTTTTTCAATTGTCTGTGTTGATATAGGATTCCCACATATAGAAACATTTGGCTCCCGAGTTGATCTCCACTGGCATCATGGTTTCTTTATTTCATAAAGATATTTGTCATCATTTCATTTTCTTCTTACTTTCTTAAAGAGTATGTGTTTATCTGAAAGGCAGAGTTACACAGAGATGAAGCGATTACATAGAGAGATCTTCCATCTGCTGGTTCACTCCCCAAATAGGTCTCCTATATGGGTGCAGAGGCCAGAGACTTGACCCATCTTCCACTACCTTTACACATGCATTAATATGGCACTTGATCAGAAGTGGAACAGCCAGGATTTGATCCACAGTTCATATGGGATGTCAGCATCTCAGGGAGTGGCTCAATCCAATGTGCCACAACACTGGCCCCTGCAATCACCTCTATCCTCAACACACTTCAAAATTTCCAAGAAAATCATTAGGATAACATATTAAAGTATGTAATCAAATGTGTATTTAAAACATAATTATTTCTGCTTTGCTGCATTAACTTTTTTATGACTAACAAGCTATTTCTGTGGAAAAGTGCTTCATTCTTTGCTCTACATTGGGTGATGTTTTGGATAATTTTCATCTTATTGCAGAACCATTACATAAATCTTTCAAGTGTAAATACATTAGTAACAGCAACAAACAAAATCCCTACCAGTGTGTGGACACGTGGTGTATTTACACATGGTTTATAATATTAGCACATGAAAAGCTTTAATTGCCTCTTAGAATGCACACAATTCTCATTAGTAATTGTGTTACTTTTGTTAGTATTTAATTGTCTTACTAATCTTGAGTAATGCTAATGTTTAAAGCATTTCTGCCTTTTCTTTTTAAGCAAGATACCATACTATGAGGAATCTCTGTTCTAAGAGGATTTTTGGGTATTCAAAAATGTATAATCACTAATCCTTGGAATTTTTCATAGTTTTACTCATAGCTCTGCAATCCAGGTTTATTTTAGTGTATCTCTATGAGACTAAAGTTGAACTTGAGGTGCCTGAGATTTTGTTCTTCAAGGTCTAGTTACATTGCTTTTATTTTTATGATTCTTACTGTACCTAATCCTGTTTTTTGGATTAAATTTCTTTTTGAGGAAGGCAGGACAGTCTGATCAATGATGTTATAGGTTTTGACAACTGTAGGGTCTGGCGATGTTAGTTCTGTGGTGCTTACTCACATTAATATAAAAATAGCCTGCTGAAATTTCTTATATCCTTCAGGACACAGCCTTCAACACTTAAACAGTGGAAATAGGAAGTGAGAAAGGGGTACCGAGAAAGGGTTTGTTCACTTCATTCTGTTTTTGATCTTTTTGTCACTTGAAAATGTGATGAATTACATTGCACTTCATGGATAACTGCTCATTGTTGCATTAGATTACTTATACTTCTTTTGGCTATATCAAGGGGAATTTTGCGACTAAACAAAATGGTGGGCTAAAACACAAGTATGATCTTTGTATTAATAAGTCTCAGTTATCCCTGAAGAATTCTTTGTGTGCATGTTGCTAGGCAGAGGATGGTGTAGGGAGGATAATAGAATTATAACTACTGAATTTTTGGAGACAAAAATAGTACAGTCTTATATTAGAAGAGTGTGTTTTAAAATAAACAAACTTCCTGGGATGTAATGAACATTGTGGAATGTAAGCATTTTTTATTAAAGCGTTAAGTTTCTCTTGTATTGATATGTATCCTGTTAGTAGAATATCTGTGAAGGAAAATAGTATTTCAAAATACATTTTCTGCTCTGTCATTGAGACAGAGGACTGCTTGATGATGTTACTTTTCATAGCAAGCATTACAGATATGATCTTAAAAATTGTGACTTAGTAAAACTGTGTTAATCACTCATTTTACTGAAAGTAATATGAGTGTCACTTGCCTTTATTCTGCAGATACAACAAATAGTTGCTTTCCTTTGCGAAAGAGTTTTCTTCCTTCTTTCCTGCATAGTAGATAAGAAATATCTCTTCATTGAGAATTATACCTTCCATCCACCTTTCTCACCCAAACACTGAAATGACACATAATTTTTCATTTTAGTCAATCCTTCTGTTTCCTCTTCGATCTGTAACTTTGCATTCCTTACTTCGTTTTCTCATCCGATATTTTCCCATGTACAAATGGTGTATTACACTTACTATATCCTTGTTATGATAACAGAACATTTCCAGATCTGTGTAAAGTTATTATGTACTGCTTTGTATCTTAAATATATATTTTTTTATTTCACTGTCTTCTACAATTACAGATAGAATCAGAGTTGCATCCCTGAGCATGCAACTGTAGAAATCTCATAGATCTGAGTTTGACTTGAATTAGAAAATGTTGAATATTTATCTACTATTTGATATTTACAATTTCATTTTATGATTCAAAATGTTGATTTTCCTTTAGTATTTTAAAAATCAGGATAATACTAGTAACTGGTTGTGATTATCTGCACATCCTTTTGTGGAGGAAACACTTGGCAGGGGTGGGTGCTCAAATAATAAGGCCTAGTATCATTCTTACTGTACTCAAAACTCTTTTCATTATTATTTCAAAACTTTTTTTTGTAAATTTTTAAATATATTTTTAAATTAGGGGTATGGCAGAAATACTTAAGGTTTTTTTTGTTTGTTTGTTTTTGTTTTTAAGAATAGAAACGTATAGAGGGAAGGAGAGACAGAGAATGAGAGAGATAACTCCAATCTATCGGTTCATGCACAAATGCACATTACATACAAAGACGGAACCTACTGAAGCAAATCTAGCAGTTTAACCTGGAGCTCCTTTATCAATATCCCTGAGTCTAGTGCTCCCAGGTCAGCATTAGCAGGAAGCTGCGATCAAGAGCTGGAACCAAGATGGAATCCAAGCACTTAGATGTGAGACGGGGGTGTTTGCTGCTAAGGCAAATGCTTGCTTTGCTTTATGTTAAAAATTGAGAGGGAGAGACAGAGAGATAAAGAGAGAGAGGAAGGGAGAGATAAAGAGAGAGAGAGAGAAAGGGGGGAGAGAGAGAAAAACTTGTGTAGTTTTAACTGCAAACTTAAATTTAACCAGTGACACAAGTATCATTAATTTAATCTGGTTGACCATTGTTGATTTTTCTAGTTTGTTTTTAAAAATCCTATAGTTTCAGTTTTTAGTTTGAGTCATAACTGGCTGAAAGTATGTACAACTGTAATATTTTAAAGCAGATTTAATTATTTTAAATAGTGAGATTTATGAATATACTAGTTGAAAAAAATTTATTAGGTGCCTTTTGTCATTACTTTAAAAAAATTCAGATGCTTAATTAAAATTTTGTAGGCATCAACAGCTGTAGGAACTGCAATAGTTCTACTACTTTTGAATAGGTAGAGTGCACACACATGCTGAATGTGGAGACCAATGGGGTAACAGGTAAAACTTCTCTTGCTCCTCCATTGTCTGGAGAAACAGAGCCATTGTGTGTTTGTTTTGTTGATGGTCTTCATGCAGAGACCTCAGAGCTAGTTTGTTCAACAAGGAGCTGTTAGAAGTGGCACCTGAAACACGGTCTAGAGTTCAGGCTTTAGCTGGGGAGCTGGGATGGGGGAGGAAACAGGTACCTTGATGAAGGTTGTCCTGAAGCACAGATGCTTGTGTCTTTCCATAAACAGCTGCGTCTTACCTACTGGGAGAGAAGACTAGGACATAAAGCAAAAACTGGAAAGACTCAGGTTTCATGCAACTGGTCTGGGAGAAGAAAGTTTAATGTTTGTTGGATGGAAAAATGTCTTAGTTCAGGTTGCTGTGGCAAATCGCCATAGGCCTGGTAGCTTAATCAACAAACCTTTATTTCTCACAATTCTGGAATCTGGCAAGCTGGGACATCTTGAGAGTATGTGGAGGGGGTGTCTT